TCAAAAGGTCTTTCCAGAGACTTCAGAGTCGGAGGCTTTGTGAAGTTATGTTGCCAAGCTGACATGAGCAAGCCTGGCTTCTTACATTTGTTTCTTTGTCTCACAGAAGATGAGGAATCCTAAAATACAAATTTTGCCCATAACTTTATACTGTGTGGGATACTGCTTTGGTGAAGTCCGTTTTATTGTCATCCCTTTCTTTTTGTAAATTAAAATTTTTTTTTTCTTTAGACAAGGTTTCGCTATGCTGCTCAGACTGGCCTCAAACTCTTGGGGTCAAGCCGTTCTCCCACCTCAGTCTTCATCCCTTTCTAGACAGCGAAAAACAAATATGCAGAGCTCCGGGTCCTCTTTTCTAGGGCAGGGAGGGGAGCCTGAGGGTCTGGTAGGTCCCAATGAGGTGACTGCTCCAGCACTTCGTCTTTGGGAACATCTGTCTGGTGCCAGTTTGACCCGAGGAACGGCCTAAGTCGCCCGCAGGCTCCTAAGGTCCTCGTCTTTCCGGGTGGCAAGACATCTGATCCATCTCGAGAACAAGTTCCCGGTTGCTTTAGGCGCTTTGTTACAGCTGACGGGGCTGGTGGCGGTTGGGCTCTCCGCTGGGAAAGGCGCAGCTCGAGTGTAAGGCTCGGGAGGGGGCACTGAAATGGTCTTCCTGGAAGGCTTCCTTCAGGAGGAAACAAATTGGGAGTTGTTGGCGGTCCAGACAGTTCAGCAAAGTGCAGCGTTTCTCCTTGGGGAATTTCAGAAGGATCCTGGCCCGGTGTACTCCAAGGTCCGGCGCCGATAGGTCGAGGGTAGAGGGAGGTATCACGCTGGGCAGCTTGGCCCCAGGGGGACATCTTCCCTGCCCCACGCATCCAATAGATGACCCCAGCTGAGGCCCACGCAGCCAATAGCTGACTTCAGCCGAGACCCACGCAGCGAATGGCCGGCCTGCTGCGCTTCGCCCGTGCCCGCCCATCGGCGCCCACCAATCAGGACTCGGGCCACCTTGGCACCGCCTCTGGACGCCCGCCCCACCCATCCGCCCCGCCTCCAACTTGCTCAGCAGGGCTGGGTACACCGGCGCGCTCTCCGGGACTGGGTGGGGGGGCAGTCCCGGTTTCGGCCTTCGCGCGGGTGGGCTCGGAGCGGCCGCACCGGGCAGCAACCCCACTCCCACTCGGAGACCCCTGCCCTCTCCCCCACTTTCCCCCGGCCCATGGTGCGAGGCTGGGAACCGCCGCCCGGGCTGGACCGCGGTGAGTGATCCCCAGCCCCTTGGACTTCCCCTCCCAGCTCGTGTACGATCACCGACCTCTGGAGCCCCATCTCCGCGCTGGTGGGGGGAGAATTCTAGGTTCAAGTCGCCCGGTTCTCTCTTTTTTCTCCTCTGGACTTTTTGGTTCCCTGTTGTAACTAGGGGAGGGGTGAGTGTCTGCGTAGGGGAGGGAAATGTTGGGTTGGGGCGCCCTTGGCGAGAGTAGGATCGAGATTCGCCTGCTTCATGGGGCTCATCGCCCCAAGTGCAACAACTTTTTGTTCCCTGACCCAGTTCGGAGCCTTCTGGACTGCCTGTGAAATGGAGGATAGGAGAAACGTTTCCTTCCCAGCCCCCTCCAGCACGCCCCCCAACCCCCATGGCTACCTCCTGGCGACCTCAACACACGTATAGAACCTGGCCTTGCTTCTGAGGATCTGGCCTTTGGGAATGAAAGGTTTAGAAGAAATTGCCCCTTCTGACTCCCGTACCCAACCATACTCAGAAAACCAACCAGGAAACTGAGAACCCAAGTCCTCTGGGGTTCCTAGTGTTGCGTCCTATTCTGAGACTACTAAACTGAAAGAAGACTCAAGCTGAGACCTGTTTTGTAATGTGGGCCCAGATCAGGAGTTTGTTTGTTTGTTTTTTGTCATGTGAACCTCCTTCCCGTCGTACACTTGAAGCCTTTTTATATTATACGATTAGGTTAGATGGTAGTAACTGAAAAAGCCAGATTGGGAATTTTAAAAATAATGAATATATATCTTAAACATTATAATTAAAAGTACGTTCATTTCACCAATCTTTTGATGTAGTGGTGAGACTGTTTTTGTGTCTAAAGTCAGCTGTTCGGAGTTCCCAATTCTCTTTCTAATATTAACTACACAAGGAGTCTCAAAACTGGCTATACCCTGAGAACTTTTAAAAACTGTGGATGCCTGGGCCCCATACAGACTATTGAATCTGAATGGGGAGAAGGGTGGCCTTGTTTTTAAGCTTCCCAGGTAATTCCAGTGTGCAGTCTGAGACAAGAGCCACTCTGGCACTTTCATCATCTTTGATTTCCTGTTTTGCTTTATTTATAAAAGTGAAGAAATTTTGACACCTTTGAGTGCAGAGGACTTTTAAGTTCCACCCCTCAGTCTTTTACAGTTGTCTTGCTCACTCCCAATTCAACAATTTTTAAAATGCATACTCTTCTTTGTGTTATGTCTCTCCAAAGCATTTGACTTAGTTTTCATAAGAACAGTTTTTAAAAATCAATATTCCTGAAGGAACAATTTTAATGCAGTGAGTTTTCATAGGTTTATATGAGATTTAATTACATTATTATATGACACTGAAAAGGTATGGACATAAGAAGGTTTGTAATCACACAAAACTGGCCCCAGCACACAGGACAATTGAATGAAGCAGGTGATTCTGGCTCATGAGTAGCCTACTAGTCTTTAGTTTCCAGTGCACTGTGGGTATTGGTCATGTAATCCAGTGGTCAGTTAAGCCAGGCTCCTGGCCCAGTTGAGCATTGCTCCCTTCCACGCTTTCCAGCTAATATCACAAATACCTTGTCCCTTCTAGATGCACTTGAATTCTTGAATATTCCATCAACTCTTTACATTCATTCACATTAAGCTGTTCATCTTTAAGCAATTACCACTATTGCCTTTATTAAGTTGGAAGGATATGAGGCAGTAATCCTTAACCTGGCCTCTTTTTTTTTTTTTTTTTTGAGACAGAGTCTCATTCCCTCACCAGGCACCAGGCTGGAGTGCAGTGGCGCGACCTTGGCTCACTGCAACCTCCGCCTCCCGGGTTCAAGCAATTCTCCTGCTTCAGCCTCCCGAGTAGCTGGGACTACAGGCGCGCGCCACGTCGCCCAACTAATTTTTTTGTATTTTCAGTAGAGATGGGGTTTTACCATGTTGGTCAGGATGGTCTTGATCTCTTGACCTCATGATCCGCCTGCCTCGGCCTCCCAAAGTGCTGGGATTACAGGTGTGAGCCACTGTGCCCGGCCTTTTTTTTTTGAGACAGAGTCCTGCTCTGTCACCCAGGCTGGAAGTGCAATGGTGTGATCTTGGCTCACTGCAACTTCTGCCTCCCAGGTTCAAGGGATTCTCTTGCCTTAGCTTCCCAAGTAGCTGGGACTGCCGGTGACCGCCACTCACAGCAATTTTTTTTTTTTTTTTTTTTTTTGTATTTTTAGTAGAGAAGGGTTTTTGCCATGTTGGTCTGGCTGGTCTCAAACTCCTGACCTCAAGTGATCTGCCTGCCTCGGCCTCCCAAAATGCTGGGATTACAGGCATGAGCCAACATGTCCAGCCATAATCTGGCTTTTGGCAGTCACTGAAGCCCCGGAGTTTATTGTGTAAGTGTGAATGTTTATTTCAGGAAGGTTAGTCATAACTTTCTGAGGGTCTGTAACTTTTGTCTGATTCTCAAAGAGGTTCATGAACCAAAAAGTTAAGCATATAACCTGAATATCACTATAAGTCTTTAAGGCCCTTAAAACTGTATCCCAAACACATTTCAGGAGCACTTCAGATTGTCTCTAAATAAAGATTTCAGGAATTCTGCAGGATCATATCTAGTCTCCCACTGTATTTATTTTTATTTATATATTTATTTTGAGACAGAGTCTCGCTCTGTTACCCAGGCTGGAGTGCAGTGTCGTGATCTTGGCTCACTGCAACCTCTGCCTCCCAGGTTCAAGCGATTCTCCTGCCTCAGCCTTCCCGGTAGCTGGGACTACAGGCACATGCCATCACACCCAGCCAATTTTTGTATTTTTAGTGGAAACGGGGTTTCACCATGTTGGCCAGGCTGGTCTCGAACTCCTGACCTCAAGTGATCTGCCTGCCTCTGCCTCCCAAAGTGCTGGGATTACAGGCACGAGCCACTACACCCGGCCTCATCTCCCACTTTAACCATCTCCAACTTTAACAATAAGCCTAGGTTCAAATCTAAAGTTCTAGAGTCCTCTTTTTCCTAGGACTGTATAAACACAGAAACTGGAAGTTTAAGACAGCCCATTTTTCTCTGCCATCTGCTTAGCAATATGGAAAGCCCAAGGGGAAAGAAGAGTGTTATATTGACTCAGAGAGAGAGAGGGATACTTTTTTTTAATTTTAAAAATTTATTTTCTTTCTTGATTTTTGAGACAGAGTCTCACTCTGTCGCTCAGTCTGGAGTACAATGACACAATCTTGGCTCACTGCAACCTCCGCCTTCCAGGTTCAAGCAATTCTCCTGTCTCAGCCTCCCGAGTAGCTGGGACTACAGGTGTGCACAACCATGCCCAGCTAATTTTTTGTATTTTTAATAGAGACGGGTTTCGCCATGTTAGCCAGGCTGGTCTCGAACTCCTGACTTCGTGATCCACCTGCCTCGGCCTCCCAAAGTGCTAGGATTACAGGCGTGAACCACCACGTTTGGCCTTAAAATTTGTTTATTTTTGATTGATTGATTGATTGAGACAGGGTCTCTCTATGTTACCCAGGCTGGTCTTGAACTCCTGAGCTCAAGTGATCCTCCTGCCTCCCAAAATGCTGGGAATACAGGCATGAGCCACTGCACCCAGCCATGACTCCTTATATTTTTATTAGTGATCTTTAAGTAGCAGTAGGACATATCTGGCATGTTTAATAAGGACACAAATTTAGAAGGTGTTCAGAATAGATGCTCATCACCACCACCACCACCACCTCCTCTGTCCTAGGACTCCTCACTTCAGCTTTTGATTCCCTTCTTTTTCTACCTAATCCAAAATGGACACAAAAGAACACAAGATACTGTAGTGTCTTTATTGTGATTTTGATTACTATGGGTTCTACCCTACTTCTTATAATTCTCATGAGCCACCCTGGTTGTAGTTTTCTCCTAGTTCAAAGCCAGATTCTTCCAGGGAAGTACCAGCTATTCAGCTGTGGGCCTTGATTTAAGTCACTATTCTGTTTCAGGAAGTGTTCCATATCATGTTTTGTGTAAGTGAAAACGACGTGTATAGTACACCAAAGATGTTATTTGCAGTGCTGTATATTACACTGAAATATCAAGCCGATGCCGAGAATATGAAGGACATCAAGACACATAAATGAAAGCAAAATACTTCCTTACAGCTTTTAATGCTTATAAATGTGTCTGCCTTATACTTATATTCCCATCTGCAGTATTCATCCTCACACTGGACTGCTTTGTTCCTTCTGCTTTATTTTATCTCTAAACTGTTTTCATGTCTTTATATAATAGGACACAAATGAGGTTAAGTAGATATCAAGCATTGCCATCATAAAGTATTCTCCAGCTTGGATTTGGTGGTGTTCTGGGTGGGCCACAGTTTCGAAATGGTAGTTTTCAGCTGTGTCCTAGATGAACCTGGAAGGGGAAAGGTGGAACTATCACATAGGCAACTGACATTCCAATCACAAAGAATCCAAATTATGGATGCAATTCTAAAGCAGTGGTTTTCATCCATTTTTTAAAGCAGCAAATACATTCTGAAATTGTATTTAAACCCCAAAATATAAAAAGTATAGAATCATAGATACCCTGGTTTCCTCATCGCTAGTTAGAATTAGGGCTCTGCAAAAATAGATTGAAAACACTGATTTTTAAATGATTCAGTCTTTGTCCCAGTTACCCCATTGTCTAGGAGGAGCATTACTTTACATCAAAATCACCTCCATGAAGTTGAAGTGATGATAAAAAGCTGCTATTTATTGAGCTCTTACTTTGTTCTCGGTATAATATCAAGTCACTTTTTCAGTCATAAACTTGCTGGGTAGGTGCTTTTTTTGCCTTTTTCACCCAGGCTGCAGTGCAGTGCACAATCTCGGTTCACTGCAACGTCGACCTCCCGGGCTCAAGCAATCCTCCCACCTCAGCCTCCCAAGTAGCTGGGACTACAGTTGCATTACCATGCCCATCTAATATTTTGTATTATTATTATTACTATAGAGACAGTTTTACCATGTTGCCCAGCCTGGTCTCAAACTTCTGGGCTCAAGCCATCTACCCACCTTGGCCTCCCAAAGTGTTGGTATTATAGGCATGAGCCACAACACTCAGCCCAAAAAAAGGTGCTTTTTTTTCTGATGAGAAATTAAGGCTTAGAGAAGTTAAACAACTTGCCCAAGGACAAGCAGCTTTCTAGAAAGTGGAGTTACATTAATTCGTCTCACCCTGGACATCCCTCCTCTAACAGTTGCTCTATGCCCTGCCTATACATAACAACTAGCACGTAGTACTATTACATACTCTCTAACACCTAGCACATAGTACTATTACATACTTTCTAACACCTAGCACATAGTACTATTATGTACTCTCTGTACTGTCTTCATTTTGTTACACAGGAGGAAACTAGGCTCATGTAGGTTAAGTGACTTGCCTGAGATCACATAGCTGATAAGTGGCAAAACCAGGATTCAAACTCAGGTTGGCCTTATCGAAGAATTCATATTTCTACCTATCATGCCATGCTACCTCCATTGACCCTCTTAAGGGGCTCTTCAAGCAATATTGCTTTCAGGGTCTTCATAGCCTCAGTTAGTTTAGATTTGCTTGTTAAAAGGAAATGGTGACATGCATTAAAATACTTCTGAATTTAAAAAAATCATGGTGTAAAAATCCCTGATATCACATTGCTCTAAATTTATGGACTTGAGATTTATTTTTGCAATTCATCATGTAGCATTTATGTAGGAATCCTGTCCTCTCCTTAGCAGATCTGGAGTAGTACTTAAAAACACAGATGGAAGGCCCAGCGTGGTGGCTCACGCCTGTAATTCCAGCACTTTGGGAGCCTGAGGCAGGCGGATCATGAAGTCAGGAGTTGAAGACAAGCCTGGCCAACACGGTGAAACCCTGTCTCAACTAAAAAAAAATTAGCTGGGCATGATGGTGCATGCCTATAGTCCCAGCTACTCAGGAGGCTGAGGCAGGGGAATCGCTTGAACCCGGGAGGCGGAGGTTGCAGTAAGCCAAGATCATGCCACTGCAATATAGCCTGGCAACAGAGCAAGACTCCGTCTCCAAAAAATAAATAAATAATTAATTAAAAAATAAAAATCCAGATAGGATTCCCCCAAGAGTAAAGAGTGATGGATGTGTTAAAGGGTCTCTAGTGCCCACACAGGGAGCTGAGTTAAAATTGTCAACAGAATATTCTGGGAAATAACTTAAGCAGTTATTTCAGGAAAGAAGCACAGTCAAGGCTATCCCTGTAGTCCCCATACCCATAACCCTGGGAGCAGTGCTGCTGCTGAGTAGCTTGCAGGAGCTGGTTACAATTTATAATGAGCCTGTCCACCTGGTCTTGAGGAGAAAGCTGGGCTGAAAAGATAAGCGCAAGAGACCTTCTGCCCTGTGTGGTGGGGGCTGTTAGTGACTGAGGGAGCTCTCTGGGCTCCCTGGGGAGAAGCTGAGCTGTTGGAAGAGACAAAGGCTGGGGGAGGGGATAACCTTTGTTCCAAGGCTGACTTGGGGGCGGAAACATTTTCCTCTCCATTTTCACATGACCTAAAGGATTGGGGGAGTGAGCCTCATTTATCCTAGATCTCTGACCCATATCTCTCATTCAACCAAGAGATGGAAAAAATCAAGCTATCAGGTTTGGGCTTAGGGCTTAAAGGTACTATCATTCATTCGCCTTCCGCCAACACTCCACCACCAAGAAGGGAAAGAAAAAAGGGCGCTGGGCAGAGGATGGTGTTGTCCTACCCTCCGGATATTCATCAGTTGTATTCTCAATATTGCTTCACATTCTAAATATAATTATAAATTGTTAGGATCCAATGAGTTAGTAAGAAGCGAGGCACAATGGTATCCACCTGTAGTCCCAGCCACTCAGGAGGTTGAGGCAGGAGAATCACTTGATCCCAGGAATTCGAGGTTGTAGTGCATTATGATTGCACCTAAGCATAGCACGCCAGCCTGGGCAACATAGTGAGAACTTGTCTCCAAAAAAAAAAAAAAAAAAATAGCAGCTGGGCAAGATGGCTCATGCCTGTAATCCCAGCACTTTGGGAGGCAGAGGTGGGTGGATCACTTGAGGTCAGGAGTTTGAGACCAGCCTGGCCAACATAGAGAAACCCCATATCTATTAAAAATACAAAAATTAGCCAGGCATTATGGGGCATGCTTGTATTCCCAGCCACTTGGGAGGCTGAGGCAGGAGAATCGCCTGAACCTGGGAGGTGGAGGCTGCAGTGAGCTGAGATTGTGCTACTGTACCCCATCCTGGGCAATAGAGCGAGACCTTGCTCAAAAACAAAACAAAATAACAAAACTCAGTTTTGAGGGCCAGGTGCAGTGGCTCACTCTAGTAATCTCAGGACTTTGGGAGGCTGAGGTGGGGAGGATCACTTGAGGCTAGGAGTTTGAGACCAGGCTGGGTAACATAATGAGACCCTGTCTACAAAAAAATTTTAAATTAGCCAGATGTCCTGCCTACTTGGGAGGCTGAGGTGGAAGGATTGCTTGAGCCCAAAAGTTCAAAGCTGCAATGAGCTATGATCATGCCACTGCACTCCAGAGTGAGTGAGACCCTGCACAACAGAGACCCTGACTCTTGAAAAAAAAAAAGATGTGCACACATACAAGCGAGTTGAAATTATTGCTCCTCTTGTTTTTGTGATCGAGTCTTCACTATGTGATTCTTGTTCCATGAATTTAGAAGGTGAGAGTTGGTGGACAGCTTCTGGAAGTGGGTTTGAATAGGAAAGATAAAGGCTGTATCAAAGATATGATGGTGCCACTGTGCTACAGCCTGGGTGGCCTCAGTGAGAGACTAATATTATCTCAAAACAAAACAAAACAAAACAAAACAAAACAAAAACACTGCTGGACGAGGTGGCTCAAATCTGTGATCCCAGCACTTTGGGAGGCCGAGGCAGGTGGATCATAAGGTCAGGAGTTCAAGACCAGCCTGGCCAAGATGGTGAAACCCAGTCTCTACTAAAAACACAAAAAGTAGCCGGGCATGGTGGTGGGTGCCTGTAATCCCAGCTTCTCAGGAGGCTGAGACAGGAGGACTTCTTGAGGCTGCAGTGAACTATGATAACACCACTGCACTCCAGCCTGGGCAACAGAGCGAGAATCTGTGTAAAAAAACACACACAAAAAAAAACACACACCAAAAAAAGCTATATCAGGATCAGTTTTCCTGCTTAACTTCTAAAGACAGACAGATTTTTATTTTATTTTATTTTATTTTTGAGATAGAGTCTCACTCTATCCCCAGACTGGAGTGCAGTGGTGCGGTCATAGTTCACTGCAGCTTCGACCTCTGAGGCTCAAGCAGCCCTCCTGCCTTAGCCTCCCAAGTAGCTGGGACTACAGGCATGAACCATCATGCCCAGCTGATTTAAATTTAAATTTTTTGTAGTCTCACCATGTTACTTAGGCTGGTATTAAACCCCTGGGCTTAAGCAATCCTCCCACCTCAGCCTCCTGAAGTGCTGGGATTACAGGTGTGAGCCACTATACCTGGCTTTAAAGACAGGATTTTTTTCTTGGTACAACACTCACCAGTCACATGACTCAGGGTAATTTAACATCTATGAACTTTAGTCCACAGAAAATGGGAATTAAAGCAGGATCTGATGCCTTAAGTTTGTGAAAATTAAAAGAGAAATTATTGAAGCACTTAAAAAGCAATACAACATGATACAAATAGAAATTTAATTGTTTTGGTGTCTTGGTAGAAATTGAGTAATGTGTCAAAAAGAGGAGACCCAGTGATTGAGCTGTTTGTCTTCTTATTACAGCTATCTCTGAAGGGCACAAATCAGAAAGCATCATGCCTCCTAATAAAGAGGCCAGCAGTCTCAATAGTTCACCAGCGGGGCTCATCTGCCTCCCTCCAATCTCTGAGGAGCTACAGCTTGTATGGACCCAAGCAGCCCAGACCAGTGAGCTAGACAGCAATGAACACCTGCTACAAACCTTCAGCTACTTTCCCTATCCCAGCCTAGCAGACATTGCCCTTCTCTGCCTGCGTTATGGGTTGCAGATGGAGAAAGTCAAGACTTGGTTTATGGCCCAGCGCCTCCGCTGTGGCATTAGCTGGTCATCTGAAGAAATAGAAGAGACTCGAGCTCGAGTGGTCTACCATCGGGACCAACTCCATTTCAAATCCCTTCTCTCTTTTACTCATCATGCAGGACGGCCCCCAGAGGAGGTGCCTCCTCCCATGCCAGCTCCAGAACAAGCTGGTATTGGAATAGGTCCTCCAGCTCTTAGCAAGCCCACCCAGACGAAAGGATTGAAGGTAGAGCCTGAGGAGTCCTCTCAGATACCGCCACTGCCACAGAGTCACCAGAAGTTAAAGGAGTCCCTGATAACACCTGGCAGCGGAGCATTCCTCCACCAATCAGATTTTTGGCAAGATCTTCAAAGCAGTGGCCTCTCAAAGGAGCAGGCAAGCAGGGGTCCCAACCAGTCACATGGCATAGGTACTGCTTCCTGGAACCACTCCACAACTGTCCTCCAGCCACAAGCTCGGGATAAGCCCCCACCAATTGCATTAATTGCCAGTAGTTGTAAGGAGGAGTCAGCATCTAGTGTTACTCCCTCTTCTTCCTCTACCTCTTCTTCCTCTTTCCAGATACTAGCTAATGGAGCTACTGCCACCTCCAAACCCCTCCAGCCATTAGGCTGTATCCCACAGTCAGTGTCACCCAGTGATCAGGCATTACCCCCACACCTGGAACCAGCCTGGCCCCAAGGGCTACGGCATAACTCAATACCAGGTAGGGTTGGCCCCACAGAGTACCTATCCCCAGATATGCAACGCCAGCGAAAGACCAAGCGCAAAACCAAAGAGCAGCTGGCTATCCTCAAATCCTTTTTTTTACAGTGCCAATGGGCACGGCGTGAAGATTACCATAAGTTAGAACAGATCACTGGTTTACCTCGGCCTGAGATCATTCAGTGGTTTGGTGACACACGCTATGCATTGAAGCATGGGCAACTAAAATGGTTTCGGGACAACGCAGTACCTGGTGCCCCTAGTTTCCAAGACCCAGTAATTCCTACACCACCTCCACCATCAACCCGCTCCTTGAATGAAAGGGCTGAGACACCACCTCTGCCGATCCCTCCACCCCCACCAGATATGCAGCCCTTGGAGAGGTACTGGGCAGCCCACCAACAGCTACAGGAGACTGATATCCCTCAACTGAGTCAGGCTTCAAGGCTTAGCACCCAGCAGGTACTGGATTGGTTTGACTCTCGATTACCTCAGCCAGCTGAAGTGGTAGTTTGTCTAGATGAAGAAGAGGAAGAGGAGGAGGAAGAACTGCCCGAAGATGATGAGGAAGAAGAGGAGGAGGAGGAAGATGACGATGATGATGATGATGATGATGTAATCATACAAGACTGAGCGGGCAGCTGGGGGAGGGGAGGTCTGTTACTAAAAGATGAACCAACTTAGCAACTGTTTAAACAAAGAAACCACATTTTTAAAATTACCTTGTGGCAGAGAACTAAAAAGTTTTGCGTTCTTCAGGGTGGGTGGCAGGGGAATGTAGTGAGGGTGAACCAGGGAGGATGGCCATAGGGCACTAAGTAAGGCCAGGATTGGATCAGCAGAAATCCAGACCTCTAACCTCAGTGTAGAGTGTACTGAGGATCTGGAGAAACCATGGGCTGGGAAATGGCGCTTGCCCTCCCCATGTCTACTGTTCTTTTCCTAGTGTACTATAGAGAGGCCAGACCTTGGCCACACCACTCCAGGAGGATTAGAAAGGAGTGAAGGATTCTAATTCGATTGATGATTCCAGTGCAGCCCCAACCCTACCATCTTTCCTGGAATATAAAGCTCCCTGGCACCCCTTTTCTGAACACAAGTCTGTGCGTAATGCAACCGACTCTCTTTTTTTCTTAATAACTGATCATTTCCTAGACAACTAAGAGTCTCAGTAAGTCCCAGTCTCATCACAAATATTAACTTCCTTTTCCTCATACCATCATGATTTTATATGTTTCACCTGCTTCATGACTGAATCACAGGTGGCAGAATATTTTCATTTCTTATGCTGGGACCACTTTGCCTTGTAGCTTTTTCTCTCTTTCCAAAATCCTCACTCTGTTCACTGTGTGTCTCAGGGTAAATCTTCCCCCACTGAGCTTGTGAAAAACTTTAATAATTGGGTGGAGAATAATTTAGAATGGATATTTATTGGAGGTGATAATTAGAAAAGAAGACCTTTTAAAAAGTAGAATTATGTTACAAAGGGGTGAAAGAGAGGGCACAGTTTCTCCTGGTTGAAGAGCAGTGGAGGTAGGTTTCAGGTTTGGTTTTACAAACCTCATACTACCTCCTGTCCAGCTTGACAGAGACTAATTCTTCATCTTTTTGCTGTCAGTTTGTTTCCAGAAAAGAGACTTTTCCCTTTCTTACTAGGATCTCTCTTAGGGACAGAGGGACCATGGTCTTCAAGTGAATTAATTATTGATATTTTAGAATGGTTTTCATCAGTTGGGATCAGCTATATGGCAAATAGGTATCATCAATGAGTTAACCATCTAAAAATAAAAGAGTGGAAGCCCTAAAATGCTAGAATAATAATAAAAAGGCCAAAAATAAAATTATTTCTCTCTTATCCACTTTGCTACTTCTATGGTTTAGGGATTAATGGAACCAAATCCATTAACATTCTAATTCAACATACTTTTATTGCTTGAAGGGGCAGGACTTACTAAGGTAAATTAAAAGAAGAATAAAAACTTTAAAAGGAAGTAGCTCAGCATCTATCATCAGGCAGATTGTTTCTCAGCCATCAAATGATAATGACTAAAATTTGTGAGGCTTCAGGAGCAACAGAGATACAAGAGTCTTGGCAGTAACTCCATTTGCTACAGAACAGGCTCTTGCCCAAAAGAGAAGGTTTCTAGAAATTCCTTTAAAAATAAATTCAGAGTACCAGAAAGGGTATGGGGATCCTAGTTCAGATAAACAAGATAATTCCCAAGACCTAATTTATTTCTGACAGATGCCTGCTATCTTCTGTTTTCCCAGTATTTTTGCTTAAGGCCAGTTTGTGAGTGGCTAACCTATTAAATTCCTCATTTCTGCCATTTAGTACCCAAAGTAGAATACATGTTTGATCTCAGTGGTAGTGTTGTTTGCCATTCCACCATTCTAGAGCTTGTAATAGTGATAGAATTGTAGCAATAAAAGGACATCCTCTTAGTTTTACTACCTGTATACTTTACTAAGCTGAAAATCAGTGTCTCTAACAGTTTTCAATAGAAAGGAAAATTAACATATTTAATGGTAATTAAGCACAGAGGAAACAATAGGCAAACAGAAAAAGTATAAGGACAAAGAACAGAGATGTTTGTTAACACTGGCAATGGAGAGTACATCCAAAGCTAAAAATGAAAACCAGAAATGAAATAGTGATGCGTATATGACCCATCACATCCCCATTCCCAACTTCCAACCAAGCATGATGCCAAGAATTATTTTTTACAATCTTTGTTTCAAGTTGTAGGAAATGAGGGAAGCTACCTATGTCTTCTGGAAGAGATATAAACATCATCTTGAAGCACTAGCCTTTTCTAAGACCTGACCACTGTACTGGGAGGTGATAAGGGTGAATAGGATAAAGATGAGGAAGCATAAGGTATAGACTGAAACCAGGAAACAACACCAGGGTACTTTTTCCAGAGCCATCACCCCAATGGGTACTGAATGCTACAGTCTATCCTTCAGCAGTATGTATAGATCAGACCTTGAAGATGATCTATCTGGAAGTGCTCCATGCTCCTCTCCCACTGGGTAATCCCATCTGCCTCTGTTGTTGGTAGGGAGTCTGCAGCAGAGGACAAGAAGGTAGATATGGGTGTTTATAACAACAAAAAGGGCAAGCAAGTCTCTCTCAACTCATTGTATGAAGCTTATTGAGACAGAAACCACTGCTGTTGCTTCCCCATAGTTTTCTTCATTGCATGATAACTAACTTTTCCAAACTAGGATTTGCCACATCTAGTGTGACAATCTCTGGAATATTTCAGTGGCTGATGGTGATAATAATAATGATGAATATTTGAAAAACTATTTTGGAAAATCTGGGACATATGACTACCATACCCAGAGATGACTATCCAGGAGGCAGAGTTCTGAGGAGGTGGCATTTCCTTCAATAACTTTTAAAAATGTACACATTTTCGGCCAGGCATGGTGGCTCACGCCTGTAATCCCAGCACTTTGGGAGGCCGAGGTGGGCGGATCACCTGAGGTCAGGAGGTCAAGACCAGCCTGACCAACATGGCATCTCTACTAAAACTACAAAAATGTAAAAAAATACAAAATTAAAAACAAAACTTTCACATTTTCAAAAAATACATAGAATAGTATAATGAACTCATGTGCCCATCATCCATCTTTAACAAATAATTCATGGCCAATCTTTTATTTCTACTCTCCCATGTCTCTCTCTACTAACTTACACTGATGCAAACCCCAGACATCATTTAACTTTCCATCCATAAATACTTTAGTATGTATCTATAAAAGAGAAAAGCTATTTTTAAAAATATAACTATAATATCATCATACCACAAAAACTCTCCAATATTAACAATTATTTAATATCAAATGTCCAATAGGTTAACTTTCAACTGTCTCATGAATGTTTTTTGTTTTTACAGCTTGTTTCAGTCAAGATCCAATTAGGGGCCATATATTCGTAGACGGTTTATAGAGCTTTTAAGTCTTTTTTCATCTGTAGGTTAATCCCTCCATTTGTGAGGATGTTAGGGAGGAATGTTATTTCCCCAGTGTTGCCTCTTAAGGCTTAGACCCTAATTTCTTTCTTTCTTTCTTTTTTTTTGAGATGGAGTTTCACTCTTATTGCCCAGGCTGGAGTGCAATGGTGTGATATCAGCTCACTGCAACCTCAGCCTCCCAGGTTCAAGCAATTCTCCTACCTCAACCTCCTGAGTAGCTGGGACTACAGGCTCACGCTGCCACGCTCAGCTATTTTTTTATTTTATTTTATTAGAGATGAGGTTTCACTGTGTTGCCCAGGCTGCTTTCGAACTCCTAAACTCAAGCAATCTGCCTGCCTCAGGCTCCCAAAGTGCTGGGATTACGGGTGTGAGCCACTGTGCCCAGCCCCAATTTCTTACTGATGAAAATAAAGGTCATCTTGGAATATGGGAGCAAAATACATACCTACCTTAGTATGAAGGAACTGTTCCCGGGGGCACCAGGAGCTTGGAGTGAAAAAGGGGCCTAAATATGCTCAAAACCCAAGCCATTAAAAAAAAAGGCAAGACTGGACTTTTTTTCTTTCTTGCGATTCTCCTGTCTCAGCCTCTCAAGTAGCTGAGATTACAGGCGCACGCCACCACGCCCAGCTAATTTTGTGTTTTTAGTAGAGACGGGGTTTTACCATATTGGTCAGGCTGGTCTCTAACTCCAGACCTCACGTGATCCACCCCCCTCAGCCTCCCCAAGTGCTGAGATTACTGGCATGAGCCACTGCCCCTGCCCTCTCAACTTCATTTAATAGGGCTCTTTACAAACCTCTCCTTGTTACCATGCCCTTTTCTTTTTGTTGCTGGAATCAGAATCATAGTCCCATAAATTTACAAAATATTATTCTAGCTATCTCTGGAAAAGTAAATGTGGTTTTTCCTAATTCAAATAGTACCTCTACCCAAAAGATATATTTCATATAAAATACTGTCTTGTGGAACTACTGAGAATGTCAGCGTGTCCACACTTACTTCACCCTGGCCAAGACCTCTCAGTATAAATCCTCTCACTACCATGTGACTTCATTTAAAAAATCCCAAACCAGGAAGCTAATCTAACAGTAGGATAAAATCTGAGACCATTCTGGAAAATTGTGAACATACGGTTACCAGAGTTGAAACCCATTTCGTACTTCACTGGTTATATTCCACCACCCTAAGACCAGAATGAGGCATTTAGTGTGCAGGCCTAACCATGTGAGATTTCATGCACAGACAAGTTAGACTAGCCAGGTCTCACCTGCAGGACTGGTAGCTGGAAAGTAGGAAAACTCTCTAGTGTGGTTCTGCTCTCCCTCTGACCTGATGGATAAAATGAAACAGTGAAAGATAGCTTACTTGGGCAGTTTCTCGGCAGTGTTATTTGTGGGTTAGGGTAACAGGTAGTTCTTGATCGAAGGAACACTACTCAGAAGGGAAAGACAATTAGCAATTTAAGAGATGGGTTATAAAGTCCGTTCTTATCCTGTGAGGACCAGGTACTGGCAGAGAGGTCTGAGATTTAACTATAAGTGGAAAGATAGGCAATATAAATATTGGTGAGCTAAGGAAGATGGCAGCCCCTTAGCAAGAGGACTGGTGGTAGCACCTTTACCAAAAAAGATGGGGAGAGGAATGGATATTGGCTTTATAATCCTCAGAACTGTGTGCCCAGCATTTTCAATATAGGGACTTTTGAGAAGCCAGTTTAATCCTATAGGCCAAATTTCTGGCTAAATAGTAAGACTCGATGGTGACAAGATGAGTACTCACCAGGGAAAATCCAGAGTTTCCCTTCACTGTGAAGGAAATGGGATGGCTCTTAAAGAATATTAAGGAGCCAACTAGAGACAATGCTCTTTGGGGGGCAAACCCCAACTTCTTGTCATCTTGAAAATCTTCATTTTAGTATATGTGTCTATAGTTGAAACTCCACTCCTTTGGAAATGTTAACTTACCAGAATTGTTGGGGGTAAGGACTCTTGTGTGGCCTGAATGCCCATTTGGGGATGGTCTGAAAGAAAAAATCGCCTGTCCAGAGGAGGCAGATGAAGGTCTAAGGAAGGGAAATAAAAGCATCAGCAGAGAAAAGCAAAGATAAAGGTAAAAATAAAAAGAATATTTAATGTAAGAGCCTATACAGTTAGGCCAGAGAGGAAAAACTCCCCTGCTTGCAACTAATAATAAAATAATTTTTGCTTGCAACTAATAATAAAATAATTTTTTTGAGACAGGGTCTCACTCTGTTGCCCAGTTTGGAGTGCAGTAGTATGACCGTGGCTCACTGCAGCCTTGACTTCCTAGACTCAAGCAATTCTCCCGTCTTAGCCTCCCAAGTAGCCCATTAAGCCCAGCTAATTAAGTCTCACTTTGTTGCCCAGGCTGGTTGCCAACACCTGGGCTTAAACAAGCCTTCCACCTTGGCCTCCCTAAGTATAATCCCAGGATTATAGGTGGGAGCCACTACACCTGCCTGGCCAAAATACACTAATTTGGATGTATATTAAACACAGTGCTATCCAATTTTCTTTTTTGTTTATAAGGCATGTTACAAACTTCGGTGGTACAAGCCAGTGGAGAGGCAACCCTAGGACTGCTGACAGAGTTTTATATTTTCGTTTTGATTTGTTTTGTTTTTGAGACAGAGTCTCTGTCATGCAGGCTGGAGGGCAGTGGCACCATCTCAGCTCACTGCACCCTCTGCCTCCCAGGTTCAAGCAATTCTCCTGCCTCAGCCTCCTGAGTATCTGGGATTACAGGCATGTGCCACCACTCCCAGCTAATTTTTGTATTTTTAGTAGAGACAGGGTCTCGCCATGTTGGCCAGGCTCGTCTCGAACTCCTGACCTCAAGTGATCCACCTGCCTAGGCCTCCCAAAGTGCTGGGATTACAGGCATGAGCCGCTGCACCCAGCCTGCTGGCAGAGTTTAAGTATGAACACATCCCAAGAAAAAGGAAGCACAGTGTTACTCACCTGTAACATAAGCTGTGAGTTGAAGCTGGTGACGGGGTTTCTGGAAAGCATAAAAATAAGCCTGTGAGATAATCTATGAACTGGAGAAGAGATTCTCCAGTTATACTGGGGTGTACTGGGGGCCAAGGAAAAGGAAATAGAGATCAAAGATTTTTAGTATGTATGTTAGGCTTGGGGGCTAATGGCAAGTGAAAAAGCTTACAAATCACATAGCAGTATCTCTAACAGGTGCTTTCCTCTCCCTTTCATGAGACTGTGGGCCAAGATCCCTCACTGCCTTCGTGTGCTCTAATGTATCTGTGACTTGGCTTCCCCTCCAAGATGGAAATCACCAGAAAGAATAGGTAAAGACAAAAAAATAGCTACAAGTGGTAGAACAAAGATCTCCAAAAATTTCCTCCTCCATAAAAACAATGAGAAAATTGGCATAATGGTCAGAATAAACTTTTTTAGAAATCTGGAAATTGACAAAGGACTTGTAATCTGGAGAATGTTTATTCAAGAAAAATACCAGAATGTTAGTAAAAACAGCAAGGTTTGTGGCATTTTAATTTGCTCTATTGCCATTTCTCCTTCAGCTCCATGGTAGCCTTGAAAACCAACAGGGCACACTCATGGTGAAAACCAACAGTCTGACAATCACTAGAGGGAATGGAACAGGGTTGGAGCTTTTTGAAGGACTCATTTCCAAAGAACTGTCATTATTTGGCCTATCTAGCAGTTCCCTGAAAGACCTCACCTTCAAGCTTGTCTTTATTTGACAGCACCAGGACTTGGAGCTCAGAGCTTACCAAGTGCAGAAAAACCTTTTCCCGTCTGCTGAAAACAATTAGAAGCACTTGTTTGGCTGCCTAAGAAGATAAATATTAGCTGGGACAAACAAAAGGCTAACCAAAAAGCATGACATATAGAAAACAAATAACAAAATGCAGAAGGCATTCTGCATTTCTTCCTTATCTGTAATTACGTTAAATGTAAATGAATTAAAAGGCAGAAACTGGCAAAAAGATGAAAGAAAAACAAGTCCAACTATACATAGTCTACGAGGGACTCACTTTGGATTCAAAGATGCATATAGATTTAAAGGAGAAGGATGAAAAAATATATTCCACGCAAAAAAACAGTGAACAAGAGTGGCTATACTAATATCAGACAAAATAGACTTTAAGACAAAATTGGCTAGGCTTACACCTGTAATCCCAGCACTTTGGGAGGCTGAGGCAGGTGGATCATGAGGTCAGGAGTTCAAGACCAGCCTGGCCAACAAGGTGAAACCCTGTCTCTGCTAAAAATACAAAAAGTAGCTGGGCACAGTGAGACTGAGGCAGGAGAATTGATTGAACAAGGATCAGGGAGGGGGAGATTGCAGTGCACTGAGATTGCACCACTGCACTCCAGCCTGGGTTACAGAGTGAGACTCCATCTCAAAAAAAAAAAAAAAAAAGACAAAAGTGTTGGGCCAGGCACAGTGGCTCATGCCTGTAATCCCAGCACTTTGGGAGGCCAAGGCAGGCGGATCACTTGAAGCCAGGAGTTCGTGACCAGCCTGGCCAACATGGCAAAACCTCATCTCTATACTAAAAATACAAAAATTTGCTAGGCGTGGTGGCACACGCCTGTAATCCCAGCTACTCAAGAGTCTGAGGCACAAGAATTGCTTGAAGCCAGGAGGTGGAGGTTGCAGTGAGCCGAGATTTTTGCCACTGAACTTCAGCCAGGATGACAGAGTGAGACTCTGTCTCAAGAAAAGACAAAAAAAGAAAGTTGTTACAAGAGACAAAGGCATTAAATAATGATAAAGGGGTCAATTTATCAAGAAGAGAAACATTTATATGTGCACCTAACAAAAGTCCTAAAATACATAAGCAAAAACTGATATAATTGAAGAGAAAATTAGACAATTTGACAACAGGGACCAGGCATGGTTGCTCATGCCTATAATCCCAGCACTTTGGGAGCCGAGGCAGGAGGATTGCTTGAGCCCAGGAGTTCAAGACCAGTCAGGGCAACACAGGGAGACCTCATCTCTACAAATAAATTAAAATTAAAATTTTAAAAACTAGCCAGGCATAGTGGCACATACCTTTTGTTCTAGCTACTCAGGAGGCTGAGGTGGGAGACTATTTAGAGAATTTAAAAAAAAAAAAAGATTTGGGAATTTCAAATTCTTTCTTGTGACAGTCCTCCCTGATAGGTATTCTCTAGGTACTGGCTAATGCCCTTGAAAATGGTAACAATATAATAGTTTTAAGGGGCTTTAGTTAAGAAATTAAGAAAGCAGACCTAAAACATTCCTCCACTGGAATATTTTCATGTTTAAAACACAGCGAAGAAGCCAGATACACTTCAGGCCAACAGTCGGCATCTTGTGGACCTTCTTTTTACAATTAGCTTATACTGCCATCTTGTGGCAATTTTTAAAATTCCAAGTCAATTTTACTGAAAAGTTATCCTCCATCTCCTACCAGAGGTTTTCAATGACTTTCTATCACTCAGATCTTTATTTCCCCCTTATTAATTGGAGGAAAAAAAAATCATTATTTGAAAAACCTGTAATATATGTATGGATACCTGGAATCACTGTCTGGAAAAAAAGCAAAATGGCATTCTATTAGACATAGAAAACCAGAAATCCGCAGATCTCTGCATAGAGTAGGTTGACTTCTGACACCCTTTATCCCTCCTCTCACCATTATAAGGGTTTCTTGGAGTTCTCCTTTCCTGCAGACCTCTGCTTCCCTAATAGACAAATAATAAGCATCAATTAATAAATATATCTCAGTTCTCTGGCTTCCCTATTCCGTATTTATCTATATCTTCACATTCAAGCATATATTGTTCTACTACAGTGGGCAAACTAGTTTAAGAAAGAGCCGTACTTTACTCTTTCCAAATGAACACCATGGACACTGTTATTTCAGTCCTGAGACACTCCTACTATTTCCACTCCTATTTATTCTGTGTCAGTTTTTAACATCAGGTCTCCATTGCCAAAAGAAAATACGATCCAGTATGACATCAGACAATTTATGCCAAAACCAATATAATTTAAGTTCTCGATAAACCTTTGCTTTCATTTAGTGTTAGAAACTTCAACCTGGAAAGAGAAGGTGAACATTGCTTACTTGTCCGAAGCTACCAAAGCCAGCCTCTTTATAAGGAATAGATTCCGCTGAGGAGGATCGACTGTATACGGTGAAACAAAAAGAAAAAAAAAAAAAGAAAAAAAAAACTAGTTTTATTTGTTGTTGTTGTTTTGTTTTTGTTTTTGTTTTTTTTCAGACAGAGTCTCACTCTGTTGCCCAGGCTGGAGCACAATGGCACAAGCTCAGCTCACTGCAACCTCCGCCTCCTGGGTTCATGCGATTCTCATGCCTCAGCCTCCCTAGTAGGTAGGACTACAGGTATGCGCCACCACACCCACCTAAATTTTGTATTTTTAGTAGAGACAGGGTTTCACCATGTTGGTCAGGCTGGTATTGAACTCCTGACCTCAAGTGATCCGCTCACCTTAGCCTCTCAAAATGCTGGGATTACATCAAAATGCTGCACAGGCGTAAGCCACTGTGCAGCAAGCCTCAAAAAACCTAGCTTTATATGTTGTTAGTACACATAACACTTCACTGTTGTTTTTTGGGAAAGGGGCATATGTCACTAATAAAATGTCTTCAAAGCTAGATCGATGTGGGGAAAACAACTTTCTCTTCTAGTTTTGAGAGACTTCCTTGGCTCCCAGGAGGAGGGATTCCCTGACTTTGACACACATGGCCACCTTGGCACAAAAGCCTTGTGGTATGAAAAAACAAATTTGTTTGTATGTCCTCTTCTCCCTTTCCATCTTTCAGCATAGACTTAACTCCTTTAAGCCCAGACATCTATTGGGACCTGACTCCCAGTCATTGGTTACCAGTGTGTCAGGCCATCTGGACTTACCAGTGATGCTACTAACATGACACCTGCAAAGAGAGCAGTGGTTCCCTTTCCAGATTGTGGATCTTCAGATAAATTCTGCCATTTTCTTTCTTTCTTTTTTTCTGAGACAGAGTCTCACTCTGTTGCCCAGGCTAGAGTGCAGTGGTGAGATCTTGGCTCACTGCAACCTCTGCCTCCCGGGTTCAAGTGATTCCCCTGCCTCAGCCTCCCGAGTAGCTAGGATTACAGGCACATGCCACCATGCCCAGCTACTTTTTTTGTATTTTTAGTAGAGACAAGGTTTCACCATGTTGGCCAGACTGGTCTCGAACTCCTGACCTCAGGTGATCCACCTGCCTCAGCCTCCCAAAGTGTGGGGATTACAGGTGTGGGCCACTGCCCCTGGCAAAATTCTGCCATTCTCATTTCACTTCCTGAAAGCAGGGTCGGCTTGTGAAAAATTGTTAAACAGGCTAAATGTGAAATGTCAACCCTCACTCTAAACTTTCCCTGTTCAGAGCATCAGATGAAGACTTCATTGGGTTTTTTAATGGCTTTCTGATTTTTGGTAGTCCACTGAAGAAGGGAGTCTGAAAGTTGTATACTGTTAACGATTGTCTGCCCATGTCCTGCCTAAAATACCATGATTGTTTATGGAAAGTATCTTTAATAAAGCCGGATACAGTTTGGCTTGAAAAAAAAAAAAAAACCTAGCTTTAAACTTCTACATACACCTAAAATTTTGTCAGTCCCAATCTGAGCCACATCTAGATATTTCTTTCATCTTCCAACTCTTGCCAACAGTTTTAATGTTGCTGTGTAGGCTTACCTGACCACTTGACTGCTATGCTGGGAACTGGGTCGTGGGGTAACTGAAAGAGAATAGAGTGCAGAATAAAAAGTTGCCATCAATGGTGCACCCCGCCTTGCCTGGCCAATTTGTTGTGTGCGGTAATCTGTTATATGATGTTTTCATATTATACATAAAGTTAGGAAGATCACATTATTATCTTTGAAGGGAGACCATTTTCTACATAGGGAAAGGATATTCATCTCACACAGATATTTAAGGAAAAAAATGTTTTTCACCTGACTGTGATGGGGAAGTAATGCCCACTGGTCGAGGTGTGGTTGACCTGAAAGGAAAAAAAAGAGAAGCAGCTCAAATCCCCCTAAGCAGAGGTTAAGTGCCACTTTAGAGGATCAATCAGATCATTGTTTATAGAAATAATAGCTTCCTCTCTGAGCACAAATTGCTTACTCTCATGTATTATAGGTAGCATTGCCACATATGGAAGCAGCGTTTCCATATAAAACCCGTTGCTCTCCAACTCCCTAAGTGGAGCTTTCTCCACCTCTGTGTTGCCCATAATAAAAGTTGTAAAGTACTCCTTTCTTCTCTCCTCAGTGCCTTACCAAGTACTCTCAGCCATACAGCTGTCCATCCATTCATACATCCCTCCATCCTCTCATCCACCTTAAGAAACTAGAAAAAGAACTAAACCCAAAATAACCAGAAGGATGCTATCCAACAAGCATATATTTGTGTCCATATTTCCTAGATCCTGAGATTACAAAGGTAACTAGAATAACTGAGAAGCTTACAGGCTAGTGGGAGAGATTAAAAAAAACAATTAGAGCAGTGTTTAAGTGTCATAATGGGCTTATCAGAAGTACAGAAGGACAAAAGAACGCTAGACTATAACTTCTATGAATGTAGGGCACCATGTCTTTTTAATCCATCAATGCAGAACTGATATTAAAAATATTTTTAGGCTGGGCATGGTGGCTCACGTTTTTAATTCCAGCACTTTGGCAGGCCAAGGTGGATGGATCACCTCAGGTTGGGAGTTCGAGACCAGCCTGACCAACAGGGAGAAATCCTGTCTCTACTAAAAAACACAAAATTAACAGGGTGTGGTGGCACATGTCTGTAATTCCAGCTACTCAGGAGGCTGAGGCAGGAGAGAATCACTTAAACCCAGGAGGTGGAGGTTGTGGGTGAGCCGAGATTGAGCCAGTGCACTCCAGCCTGGGCAACAAGAGCAAAACTCTGTCTCAAAAAGAGAAAAAAAAAAAAATACACACACACACACCCATTTTTTTTAACAGTTGGTAGAGCATACATATCACTAATTAGAAAGGACCAGTGAAATATATCCAGCCCCTAACACAGTACCTGATAAGCTGTAGGCATTTAATATTTATTGAATGAATGAATAGACCATCTAACTCTACCTAATGCAATCTTCACAGAGGAAATGACTGAGTTGAGTTTTGAAGGATGAGTAGGATTTCGTAAGATGACAGTCCAGGGTGAGCATTACAATTAAAATTTTACTTCGGCACTTTTCAGTGAGTAACTGTTTCTCGGAGAAGTGAAAGCTAAATTCATTAACGATTTTCTTTCTCTCAGAGTTCACACAGCCAGGAGTCAAGAAAGAATAGGCATTTTCAGGGGACTGGGCTAGTACAGAAGCTGATAAAACTGACCTGCTTCCTTGGTACCAACTCGGAGATTCCTATAGGTTAAAAAAAAATAAAAACAGGAGTGAAAAAAGCTGCAACTGAGGATCCTAATCAACAGACCTTTAGTCTTAATTGTTAGATAACAAAGCTCAATGCCCCTTAGTCAGGGTTGCTAAGATTCCCAGTAGGGGGGAAAGTAGCCACAGTATTTCCTCAGGATATCATTAGCTTTGAGGGGATAATATTTTAGTTCATCATAAGTACACATAGGGAATCCCACAGACTAACATGTGGGGAAATATGGAGTCTCTGGGGAGAGAAAGGGAAATAACATACTACAATGTGCTTGAATAATTATAGGAGTGGGATCAACAGGAAAATTATACAAATACACAGAACATTCTTAGGAAGAAAAATTATTTAGGAAGTAGTGTGTGATGCAGAGGAAGGGTCCTGAGGTGTCTTGAGTTTATTAAAGAGAAATTTTTGAGTTGCAGCAGATGTCTCCTCTATAAGACAGCTTTCTAACTGGTATGTTGTGAATGGATTACGAGTGTGCTATATATTGATCCTTTCAGTCCTCCAAGGTCTGCTGAGACCTCATCCATTTACTATAGTGTGCTTATTGTACAAATATCAATTTCTGTGTGTTCCATGATGAGAAAAATGTTAGGAAACACTATTCTATACAGTCAGCTAGATAGATGAGAAAAGTAGGAGAAAAAATAATAAGGAAAATCTATTTCATTTACCTTTAGAATGGCTAGAAGTTTCTTCAGTTCTCCATTCTCCTTCCTTAAAACTGACAATTCTCTAGGCAAAAGATGAAAACAATCAGCTCCAGCATATCAGGGATTAAAAACCTGATTTTTTCTTATTATAACTATTAACATCTATTTAATGCTTATTGAGAAATGCTTGCAGCTATACAACCTATTTCTATCAGAGATTTTGTGATTGAAGGAGACAATGGCCTGATTTTGATAATGAGAACAATCAGGTGGACAAAATAAGAGATTACTTGGTATGATTTCAGGGGAATTTGCAAAAAGAATCCATTTCCTCTCTCCACACACACACACATCCCTGGCCTGCTAATGTCTAAAAGCTTTTATCAAGGATTCCATCTTTTGATTGCTCTGGCAGCACATATACCCAAATTGGAACAATACAGAGAAGATTAGAATGGCCCCCAAAGACAGTTAACATGCAAATGCTTGAAGCAATTCATAAAAAAAAAAATAACAATAATAATAAATTTAAAAAGAAGAAAAAAAAATCCAGACCAGCCCAGGCAATGTGGAGAGACTCAGTCTCTACCAAAAAAAAAAAAAAAAATTAGCCAGGCATAGTGGAATGCACTTGTAGTCCCAGCTACTTGGGAGGCTGAGGTGGGAGGATCACTTGAGCCCAGGAGGTTGACACTACAATGAGTGTTATCAGTGTGGATCAGCTATATCTGATTTTTCAAAAAGAAGTGGAGGGTTTTATTTTGTTTTTTTGAGACATTGTCTCACTTTTTCACCCAGGCAGGACTGTAATGGTGTAATCATAACTCACTGTAACTCAGACTCCTGGGCTCAAAGGATCCTCCAGCCTCAGCCTCCCAAGTAGCTGGGACTACAGGTGGGAACCACCATGTCTGGCTAATTTTTTATTTAAAAACCATTTTTTTTTAGAAGCAGAGTCTCGCTATGTTGCCCAAGCTGGTCTTCTCCTGGACTCAAGTGATCCTTCTGCTTTGGCCATCCAAAGTTCTAGGATTATAAGTGTGAGCCCCTGCACCTGGGCTGGGAAGCAGTTTCTGATACTGGGAAATAGAAGAGGAAAACTATAAAGTGAGGAGGGCCTCTGGAGGGCAGAAAGAAAAAAAATGGAGATTCAGGGGATCAAAAACTCTGTACCTGATTTTCCCAAACAAACAAATACATATGGAGCAATTTCCAGGCTTTGCAAACACAAGGAAATAAGGACTGTCACTTCTTAGAAAGACAAAACAAGAAAAAAAGCTCTCTAGGGATTTGACTTGTTACTTACTTGTCCTGGCTGACCAGCATTTGTTGTGCGTCCTGCATGGCTGTTTCTAACTTTGTAATTCTATGCTTATAAAAGGCGAGGAGGAGATCTGTTTGTTTCTTCTGGAAACTCCACACCTACTAGGGAAAAACAAGCCTTTAACATACTCTCCTATAACTCCTTTCCCTTCACTTTTGGCAACAAAGGGAAAGCCATCAAATCACACTTTATTATACTGCTCATTTTCTTCTAGAACATCTGGCCTAATTCACAACTTCCCAGAACTAGAGCTCAGCACTCAATTCCAAGGCACTGGCTTCTATTATCTTTTTTTTTCTTTTCTTTCTTTTTTTTTTTTTTTTTTTTATTTTTTGAGATGGCGTTTCACTCTGGTTGCCCAGGCTGGAGTGCAATGGCACGATCTTGGCTCACTGAAACCTCTGCCTCCTGGTTCAAGCTATTCTCCCGCCTCGGCCTCCCGAGTAGCTGGGATTACAGGCTTGTGCCACCCTGCCTGGCTAATTTTGTATTTTTAGTAGATACAGGGTTTCTCCATGTTGATCAGACTGGTCTCTAACTCCCTACCTCAGGTGATCCACCTGCCTCAGCCTCCCCAAGTGCTGGGATTACAGGCATGACCCACCGTGCACATCCCCTTCTACTATCTTAATGGGAATATTCTACCATAGTAGAAATGACCCTTTAAAAATATGATTTTTTATCCTGTGCAGTAAGAGAGATTTTTTAAAACTGTTTTTCAAGCTTAGAATTGATTCTAACTTGTCCACTATTAGTTTGGATCAGCTTCCACATTTATAGCTATTACAGAGCTTTCGTGACCAATTTACTTTCCCTAAAGACACGTACACCGAGTCACCTGCAAGCTGCTTATGCTGCTACAGGAAAGGGTGGAGAGGCACAGAAGGAGATTACCTATGCTTGAATTTTGTTTCTAGGCATGCACACATAATTTTATCGTTTGCCTTACTTTACCATTTGCTATGCTAATGTGTCTATCATAGGATTGCTGAATCGGATCAAAAGTTAATATTTAGAAAGTGTTTTAGCTTTGTCAGGCTCTACTTTTGAGTACACAGCAGTATTCATGTCTCATCTGCTTCCTCCCTGTTCAGACTATAAACCCTCTTTTGTCTAGGGTCCTTCTCTAGATCTTGGTACTCTTCTCATAAACTTTTTGTTCTCACCTAATTTTCAAATTGCTCTTGCCACCTTACTGAAGAATTGTACTTAAGAGTTTCCTTTCTACTAAAGGTAAACTAAATTGTTCTAGATAGATAAGAATTTATTCTAGTCTATTTTTCAAAAACAACAAAAATAAACCCTCATTTTTAATAAAAGTAAAATGCTTATTTTAAGCTATGAAAGAAGAATGTTTCGGAAATTCGGGAGGCCAAGGCTGAGGCAGGATTGCTTGAGGCCAGGAATTTGAGACCAGCCTAAGCAACATAGCAAGACTCTGTCTCTACAAAAAATATTTTTTAAAACTTAGCCAGGCATGATAGCACACGCCTGTAACCTCAACTACTTGAGAGGCTGAAGTGGGTGGGTCGCTTGACCCCAGGAGTTCGAGGCTGCAGGGAGCCATGATCATGTCTCTGCACTGCAGCCTGGGCAACAGAGCAAAACCCCATCTTTAAAAAATTATTTTAGAAAATTTGAATAGTGGAGGCCAGGCATGGTGGCTCATGCCTGTAATCCCAGCACTTTGAGTGATCTCAAGTGACCTCAGATAACTTGAGGTCAGGAGTTCAAGACCAGCCTGACCAACATGGTGAAACCCTGTCTCTACTAAAAATGAAAAAATTAGCCAGGCATGGTGGCACACACCTGTAATCTCAGCTAATGGAGATGCTGAGGCAGGAGAATCACCTGAACCCATTAGGTGGAGATTGCAGTGAGCCAAGATTGCACCACCGCACTCCAGCCTGGACAACAGAGTGAGACTCCATCTCAAAAAAAAAAAAAAAAAAAAAAAAAAAAATCTGTGGAGAAGCAGAATAAAAGTCACTCTGAATCCTGGGAATTACCTAAAATGTCAGGGGTAGGGATGAATCTATATAACAGACAGCCAAGTCACAGTGTTAGTATCCCAAATATCTTAATCCTACCCTTGGGGTTAGTTGGAAGCAAAATTAATTTAATATCTGGCTAGCATCAAGAAAAGCCAAATCCTGCCCTAGATTAGTTAGTCCTTCCCTTGAGATTACCATGGGTCATAAGTGCACAAACAGACCCCACTGTGGAACTCCAGGGTGCCAGACTGGACTATGGGAAGGTCTTTTGCCAGGCCTAAGCAGACCTACTTTGTCTACTTCTCCCCAAAAACTGATCATTCCAAGAAGAAGAAAGGCCAGTCCAGAAAACAACCGGCAAGGAGTATTAGAGGAGAAGAACAAGTGATTTTGCCTGATGCCAGGGTACAAATGTTTAGCCTATTTCAAATACATTCACCGAAGAAGAAGCTAAAATCTAACTCAGTAATGTACTTAAAAACTCAGTACATTACTTTAAAAAATTAGCAATAGTTAGTAATCCTTCAAATCCCTTGGCTTCATGAAAAGGTTGGCCTCTTTCCTTTCTCCAAAGAAGATTAACTTTTGCTTGCTCACTTGCTTTTTTTTTCTTAATTTAAAAAATTTTTTTAGAAATAATATATTGCTATGTTGCCCAGGCTGGTCTTGAACTCCTGGTCTCAAACAATCCTCCTGCCTTGGCCTCCCAATCACTTACTTTTTCTTAAAGGTGTGATTATTTTGTTAATACAGTAACACAGAGCTGATAATAATAAAAGTAGTTCTATTGATGATAACACTTAACATTGTCTGGATAATGCAAGTGTTAAATATTATTTGCTTTATTGAAACATTGATACCAACATTTTATTAGTATGAAACTACCCACTTCTAGACTCTGATTCCTTACTAGGGCCAAGTAAGGATATTATGGTCTTTTTGCTCTGATTCCTACCATTTTACTATTGATAGCGTGTCAAAATACAAAATTACAACAAATTTAGTTTAAAGATCTTAACTGGCTTTGATTTGCAATTCTAGACTTGAGCAACACATTTTTCTAAAATTTTTCTAAAAAACAGAATGAGTGTTCTGATGAACCGAGCAGAGGAGTTGGCTTTTTAGGCAGAAAAGGGCTAAAGAAAACAGAAACAGAACAAAAAGTACATGGGTTGGTTCATAGTTACTTTCCTTGTAAAAAGTTAAAGCAGAGGTGACTTCTTTATTATGCTGGCTAAAACTGGCCTGTTTGGAGATTTGGCTATTACCTCTCTCTCTCTCCTGATTTCTTGGAAGATCAAATAAACTGTCAGCATGAGTAAGGACATTTTGGTTTGGTCTGTTGGACCTAGTGCAGAAACTCAATCCAAACCAATGGCCTTGTATAAACTTTATTTTACATACAAAACATAATTTTTATTTTATATGCTTCAGAGAGTATTTTAAAACTTCAGTTCTGAATTAGGTCCAACAAAAGGTTGAAAAGAATAAAGGAGAAATAACTGAAAGACACTGAGAGAGGCACGGTAATGGAAGCAAAGGGGGAGCTTAGGTTTACTACGATAAGACAAGATATTTTGGTCCAATGTGGGTTATAATAAAAGAAACATTTTTGTTGTTTATACAAGTAGGCCAGATGCAGTGGCTCACGCCTGTAATCTTAGCACTTCGGGAGGCCCAGGTGGGCAGATCACTTGAACTCAGGAGTTTGAGAGCAGCCTGGGCAACATGGCAAAATGCCATCTCTACCAAAAATACACACATACAAAAAGTAATATATGCATTAGAAATGAATATTAGTTTATCATTTGTGTACTAAAGAATGACCTTCCCAATTCTTATTTTTATTTTGATAGAGATGGGGTTCTGCTACATTGCCCAAACTGGTCTCAAACTTCTAGCCTCATGTCATCCTGCAAGTGCTGGGATTGTAGGAGTGAGCCACTATGCCTAGTCTTAGTTCTTTTTTTTTTTTTTTTTTTTAGATAGAGTCTTGCAGTGTCACCCAGACTGGAGTGCAAGGACATGTTCATAGTTTACTGTAGGCTCAACCTCCTGTTCTCAAGTGATCCTTCTATCTCAGCCTCCCAAGTAGCTAAGACAACAGGTGCATGTCACCATACTCTGCTTTTTTTTTTTTTTTTTTTTTTTTTTTTTTTGAGAAGAAGTTTTGTCCTTGTCACTCAGGCTACAATACAATGGTGCAATCTCGGCTAACTACAACCTTCGTCTCCTGGGTTCAAGTGATTCTCCTGCCTCAGCCTCCAGAGTAGCTGGGACTACAAGCGCCTGACACCACACCCAACTAATTTTAGTATTTTTAATAGAGATGGGGTTTCACCATGTTGGCCAGGCTTGTCTGGAACTCCTGACCTCAGGTGATCCACCCACCTCAGCCTCCCAAAGTGCTGGGATTGCAGGTGTGAGCCACTGTGCCCAGCCCACCCCGTTAATTTTTATTTTTTATTTTTTAAGAGAAAGAGTCTCACTATGTTGCCCAGGCTGATCTCAAACTCCTGGGTTCTAGCAGTCCTCCTACTTTGGCCTCCCAAAATGTTGGGATTACAGGTATTAGCCACTGTGCCCTAACTCTTATTTTTAAATGTCAGCATTTTTATTTATTTGAAAATTTATTTTTGCATGCAATTTAAGTTTTGAACATTTGTAAATAAGACAAATAAGTTTTAGAAATTCACTTTAAAGGTACTGGTAAACTCATAATCTCTCTTTGACTTCAAAACTTATTACTTTGCCTTATCTATCTTTTGTGAAACTCCCTCATTCCACAGTATCTACAAGCAAGTCTTAGTATTTTTGAACTATATGTCTGGATAGTCATTTGCTTGATAAAAAAAAAAATTCTCTTTAGAAGTACTCCAACTAAAGAAATGAGAAAGGAAATGAAATCGGAATTTTTTTTTTTTTTTTTTTTTTTTTGAGGCAGAGTCTCACTCTGTCTCCCAGGTTGGAGTGCAGTGGCACGATCTCTGCTGACTACAACCTCTGCCACCCGGATTCAAGCAATTCTCCTACCTCCGGAGTAGCTGGGATTACAGGAGCGCGACACCAAGCCCAGGTAATTTTTTGTATTTTTTTAGTAAAGA